AATGCGCTGTTATTTTTTTGCTTGTAATGTACGGTTAAATATTTCTCCCTAAGCAAAAAGGTCGCAAAAACACACTCGACAGGGACGATAAAAGGCAGCGCGCAGTACTCACAGGGCACATTCATAACTGTTTTTTTTTTTAATTAATCTCGACGTCAACATAACAATTATTATCATTTCCCGAGTCCCGTGGAGAGACATCCCGTGTTGACAACCCTGGTCGGTTTGTAAAGCCTCAAAACGGGTCAGGGCTGCGCCAATCCATTAATGTTTTTGTAAAAATACGCTTCGTTGTTTATTCGTTTGTTTTTTTAGATACCAGAGCTAAAGGTTGACTTGATTCGACAAAAATATACACTAAAAACGACGAGGTTTTGTTATTTTGCATTTATTTTTCAAAGGGATTGAAAAAACATACTCAAAATACAAAAGTAACAGTAGAATTCGTAAGCATAGCAGATACAACTGATGTTTAATTTCTAAACAATTGTGAAGATATAATGCTTGGAGCAAACAGAACTTGAAACTGTCTTGTTATGCAGGCGAACTGAGAATTAATGAAGAATAAGTTTGCTTGAAACTATGCAAGACAATGCCTACTCTGATTAACTATTGTTTAGCTGATGTTAGTTTCCGACGCATGAAATACAACATACTATTAAAATAAAATTAGATATTCCTATGCTGTATTTTGATTTTCTTCTATACTAATATTATAAAGAGGAAAGATTTTTGGATTTTTGTATGTATTGAAATAAATCAAAAACTACTGTGCCAATTTAAAAAAATCTTTCAATGTTAGTAAGGAAATTTATCTGAGAGACATAGGGTATATTTTTTAATTTCACGTGAGCGAAGTCGCGAGCAACAGCTAGTTTGTTAATATAGCATCTACAACTGGGCTTACAGCCTCTTCTTGTTGAGAGTATTTCTTAATGTGAATAATCGTAATCCTTGCTTTTTGCATGTTGATAATTAAATTATAGAAAAAAATATGAATTACACAAAAATTATTTAACATTTTAAATTAATTAAAACAATAAAAACACAATTAATCATTAATTAAAAGATGCATACGTAATTTTATAGCGATTGCATTTTTATTGGGCATAATCGCATTGTTTTAAACGTGAGAACATGAGTCATATGACCTTGGTCAGCGTGAAGGTCGATATATAACATTTTATTAATAAATAATGAATAATTATGTAATCAAATTAACAACAAATTAAACATAAAATGATATTATAAACAAATCTTACTAATGTTATAAATGCGAAAGTTTAGATGGATGTTTGTAAGAGTTTGTAGCCTAAACGGCTGAACAGATCTCGATCAAATTCGGTATATGTAGAGGATAATCTGGAAGAACATATAACTCACTTTTGTTTTTTTAATTCTACGCGGACGGAGTCGCGGGCGAAAGCTAGTATAATTTAATAGCGATTTTTATTTAAAAACAAGCATTATCTCGAAATAGATGTGTCAGTCAATTTATTTAAAGGAATAAATATTTAATGCAGCTGAGTGCTGGTAAAGGATTTCCGTGTATCGGAAAACGTCATTTCAAAGTACTGAGTGTTGAAAGAATAATCAGTACCGATTTTAGTTTTATTAAGTCTAATTTTAGTCCCTTTCCCTTTCCACCCTTTTCTTAAGAGTGAAGGATGGGAAGAAAGGAAACGGAACGGAGACACTTAGGAAGGGGAAATGTCCTCTTTATGTGCGTCTAACTCCTCCGTCAATCAAGGGTAGGCAACGCATTTGCAATTGCGGATGTTTATGGACAGCGGTCGCTTTCCATTTCGGTGGATTCAGGTGGCCGTTTGCTCGTTTGCTACCTTGTATTATTACAAAAAAATAGTTCTCTGGGTAAGATTTCTATCACGTATTTTAGATTTTTTGATGTAAACAGCATCTTGTGAGACTGCAATTGCAGATCTTTCTGTCCAGTCTACTGGACAGTCGCCGAACCACGCCCTTCGCCAATACTAGTTCTACAGTAACATAGTGTTACAGTTAATTTAATACTTATAATAGGAGAATACCTCAATGTTAGTTATGAGTGTGGAGGGGTACACCGGTAGAGGTAGACCTAGAAAGAGATGGATGGATTTGCGTGAAAGGTGACATGATCAAGAAGGGAGTGATGACTGAGATGACGGATGATAGAGTTATTTGGAGGACGAAAACCCGGTTCTCCGACCCTACGAGAGTAGTACCTAGTAGAGGGGAGTACCCTAGTAGAGGGGAGATGATGATGAGTAGATAACCTAAATGGTACTCTTAGTTGGCTCTAAGTATATACGAGTAATCTACAAGAATATCTAAATAGACCACTAAAATTAACTTTCGATTGTTCAAGATTGTATATTCTACATTATTTTAAATCCTACCGTTGCATTGAAATGGGAAATAAACTGCGGAGCAAAGTCGTGCCTTCTCATTGAAGGCCTTATATTTGACTATTTGCTGAAAGTGGAACATAAACATATCCCGAGTTGGGTGAAATAATCTACGAGTACAGCTACGTATGTTATAATGTGTAATTTCGTGTGGTCCAAGGTAAAAGCTATTTCTGATTCTGCCCACTAGACGTGTTCTGACAGTTTTATGTTAAGAATCGAACTGTTAAGTCAAAACTGTACATGTGTGGTAATCATCATCATCATCATCATCATT